CTTATTTTATTTCTCCTATTTGCCCTCACGTGTCAAAACTCGAAAAGTATATACTCTCGTTTACATGAACAAGTCCCAATTGTAAATATATGTCTGACGCGGCCGATGTCGCGCGTGTCACCATTCCGTTATGTGTAACTCCATCGCGATAATCCGTTATCGCTGCGACAATCCATTCGTTCACTCAGCGTAATGGAAGTTAGAATTGCTCACCTCGTCCGTCGATAATCGAACGGACCTAAATTGGATCGTAAGAAACGGGGACACCTGGGACACGCGGTGTATTAGATACAAGCATTGTCGCGAGTGACGCGAATGCACACGTGCTGATTGCCATGCTCCTAATACCATATACGTGCGTAGGCGTATGTCTTAATTCAGCGTGCGAGTATCGAGTCACGAAGAGGGTACGAAAGAGAGAGATAGCCTGATTGTTTCGCCATCTATATAGGACGAAGTTCTTTTAAATGCTGAGAATATTCGATACGAAAGCTGACGTTGAATGTTACATATTTTCGACGTAGTATAATGAAGTTAATAAAAGAAAATTTGATGCAATAGAATGTTTATTTTATTATATTATATGTATATTATTTTAACAGAGAGAGAGCATCGTTTATTGGGCACTTTGGGACAAGTCCGCACAAAATTACAGTAAAGAAAAATTAACGATCAAATTAAAAGAAAATTATACATGATTATAATTCTGAAGACAAAATAAGACGAAACATAGTTCAATACATCAAGTGCTGAAATGTAAGTTAGAGTGCAAGAGTACGTATGATAAGTAAGAGAGAGAGAGAGAGAGAGAGAGGGGGGGGGGAGGAAAAAGAGCGCGTGAACCGCGACTTAGCGGTTTCGCCACAAATTATCTCGGGCCTTCTGCGAGACAATTGATGATAGCACTTATCGCATTAGATAAAGCTATTTCTTCGCTCGTCATTGAGGCGCTTACCCCCTCCCCCCCCGCTCCCCGTGCTGCCCGAAGGGGTTACGACACGACGAGCGTGTAACGCACACGAGACGAGATAAATCGGGTGCATTAGCGGTTCGGCTTTGGTTCTCTTCGCGCCAGAGACGATAACGAAAGGCGCGATAGCGGCGTATTCTGATCGTTCAACTTTAATATCGGAGCTGCGGACAGATAAACATGTACGTTTTATATCCGCACGCACATGCGTGTGCACTCTTCGATTTTGCGCTAACCGAATTAATTGCAATCGAGTTACGTTACGTAAACCTGGCGCGGAGATAATGTACGAATTCGGTCCATTCGTTCGCCTGTTCGTTAACCGTTCTCGTTTTTAAAAGCCACACGCTTTTTCGGCTTTGTTAGGTTTTTTCAGCGGCTTTCCGCGCCGCCTAATGGCGGCGGTTCTCGGTTGCGTTTATTCAGCGGTTACGCCGAAAGCCTTTTTTTTTTTAGAGATAAAATAAATTCGAGCTTTAGCCTTCATTGTTCTTTTATATCCAAACTAAATATATGTGTGTGAGTCCCGCTTTTGTTCCTATATTATCCTTGGATTAAGCTTATTTTCGATTTTTCCTTATTGTATTTTGTTAAAAAAATAGATATATTTGTGTGTGTCATGTATAAACCTACTTGAATGCCGCAGTATATCGAACTTGTGTTTCTAGGTTTGCTAATTATAAACTTAAAACTATATCAGTCATACTTGCGAATGTTATATTGAAAGTGTTTTTTTAAATTAAGATATATAAATAAAAAAATAGCTTCCGTTGGAATCCCAGTGGATCTTGTTTCTATTCCCAAATGTTATATTTAGTTTCAATTTTTCATTACAGAAAGAGGAGGAAGTATATATTGATTATCGTTTATCAAAAAACATATAAATTGTAAAAATATATATAAATAATTGCAATGGATCGAGGTCCATTGATTTATTACCAAGCCTATCTAAATGCGGATCAATTATTTTTGCATCAATTACTGTAGATACATCGAAATCCTGGCGATGTGGTGCGTAGTGACATCTACCGGAGCATCAATTACTAAGACGATATTGCTGGTTACCAATAGTGGCTACTGTCATCTTACTGTATTATCACTAAAAAAAAAAACATACATATGATATGAAAACGTTATTTCAAATGATGGGAACACGAAAAGAAAAAGGAAAAAGCGAGAAATATTTCTTTTTTTTCCTGTTGGTTATGCGTTCGATGACGCGCGCAAGTCGCGTATTATTGTCGCTTCGTCACTTGGCAACCAAATATTGAATAAACAAACACCGTGGAGTCCCGTATATTACGATATAGAGAAAAAAAAACCGTTTGCATACGTTGAGGTACTTTATTGTTTCGGCATAAATAAACCACTGTCACTCTAAACGTACGTCACAATCGCGAATCGGGATCCTTTTTCCTGATTTCGATTCGATTTATCTGTTATTTTACTATTTTTGCGCGTTCGCGACGAATGAGACAAATATAAGCGTAGGAGATAAATATAATGGATGACAGATATCCCGAGTTCGCGGAAGACGCAGAAGAGCCGTCTGTTACGTCGTTGGATCCGAAAGAGCGCAAATTAGCGCGCCGCATCCGCATTCAACGACGCTTAGAAGCTCTAGCTAAGTAAGAACTTTTCCCTCGTGTTTGGCCGATTAAAAATAAAATTTAGGAACACAACAAACAGGTGATGAAAACTCGTGAATGGTCAAGCTGGATCTTCAGTGCTTAAATAATTCGGGGTGAATTTATTTATAATAAAATTTGAAAAGCGATTCACAAACTTTGATTCTCCTAATCCCTCAAAAATATTCTATAAAAATTAAAACCACATCCGCTGATGGTGATGTATGCAAACAATGAACGATATACTCTAAGAGAAATCACGATAACGTCGAAATGACGTTAAAATAAATTAAAAAGTGATTTTTAATAATTTTTTAGTCATTTCGATGTCATTTTGATGTGTTTTGCTTAGGTGATACCGCATAATATCGCGCAACTTTTCCGCGATTGTGTCTCTTGCCTTACAGCATTGAAGAATAGGATTTTTTTCGTTTAACATCGCAGCTATCCGATATTTTACAGAAAATCAGATATTGAAGATGAAGAAATTATCGAGAAGACACTCACTGAGAGACAAATACTTGCTAGTTTGGATCTGTTGGAAAAGTTGTCGTTGGAAGGCGACGAAGTGGTTGGTATAAGAAATGTTTATTTCGATTCGCAGATTTGTATCTGTGGATTATTCGTCATATATTTCATGACATGATACTAATAAAAGAATTAAGACATCGAACTAATCGTTTAATAAATTTGTGTGCAGGTGACGTCAGTGAAGGTGGCGAATGACGCCAGGGAGCTACAGCGACGAAGGGAGGCGCAGGAAATTCGAAGAAATTTGTTGAAGAAGCTCGAGGAAGATGACGAGGAATGCATGAAAAGGTACCGAAAGATCAACGACAAGTGGGCAAATATTCTCGCGTCCAAGGACCCGTTAGACATACACGCGGAAATGGAAGCCCAAAGTGCCAAGTGTCTGGAAATCTTGGAGAGGAAAGACGCCGTCATCGCGCAGTTGCGAGAAGAGTTGGAGAACGCCGATCTTAAATTCATTAATGATCAGAAAAATCAAAACGAGGATATAGACTTATTAATCAATAGGATGGACAATCAAGTTAGATATGCAAATAATAATTTGGACAATCATATTAATACGTATAAACTTAATGTATTAAGGGGGTTCCTATACTTTATTTATAGATGAACATCATGACTAAAGCTTACCGTCATGAGTTTTCGCTTATTAATGACGCAATAGACTCGGAGCATAAAATGCTGCTGGACACTCTTTCGGAGAAATGGGAAACGCTGTACAAAAAGTTACAGGAGGATAGCCTTGCGGGATTAGATAGACGGAAGGAAATAATACAAGAGTACGAGGAAGAGATGAAGAGAGTAATGATCGAGCATCAGGAGGAATTCCGGGCGCAGAAAATTAATTTCGAACTTGAGATACAGAAGCTTGAACAAGAGGTGGAGAACATGAAAGCGCTTTGTTTCATGAACATCGAGAAACTGGAGTATAGTTACGCCGTGCTTAAGCGACGAGAGGACGAAAACGCTATAGTGAAAAATCAGCAAAAGAGAAGAATTAATAAGTCGGTATTAAATGCAAATTGAATGATTTTATACGATTCAATACAGCGAGGCTTCGCATTTCTAGGTATCGTTGAATTAATTACGATTAACGGATAAATTGGCGTCCTTTTCAGACTTCAAGATATGGCCAATGGTCTGAAAAAAAATTATGCGGAGTTAGAAGAAAACACGAGACTTGAGATACAGAAGCTCACCGATCAAGTTATAAGAGCGCACAAGAATATTTTGGATTCAATAGAAAAGTCGAATCACTTCACAAAAATAAATGATAAGAAGTTTATGCAAATTTGGGATATGAATGAGACAAAAGCAAATGAGCTGCTCAATAAGGTGCACTATGGTAAATATTTTAATAGACGTCGAGAGATTAAAAATATAACGCATTTCAGATTTTAAACGCTGACAAAATTATATACGAACAATTATTGGGCGTGGAATGGAAACCACCTGAAAAAGTCTTACTAAAAAAGGAAGATTTGCCGTCTTATCGTAATGTGATGTATACAATAGCGGAAGGTAACAATTAATTAAATACATTTTTTTTTACCGAACACGTATAAAATTTTCTTGACAAGTGCACGTTTGCATTCTTTAAGAGAACAGATTGATCAACGAGAAAAAAATAATATGTAAATCTTATAAATCGGCGAGCACCATTGAGGAAATCAATTTAGAAAGACGATTATTAAATCATATCATAAAGCAAATTTCTGATCGTTGTGACTATTTGATCGAAGACAAATTGCTCGAGTTACTTTTACCTTATACTGTGAATGATCAGCTGGTCGTACGATTAGATAATGTGTTTCAGGTAAATATGCATGAGAGACGTCTCATTTCATTTCGTTATAATATTGTTGCATATTATTAGGCACTAAATATCAAGTCCGAGAAGGAGCTTGGCTTTCTCTTGAATTTCTTTCTGCCGTATGCATATTGTCCTATGTGTAGCAAGGACATGAGCAGATCTACCGAGGAATCTCCGTCTCTGAAAACGGAGTGAGTAAATGGTTACAAGTAAATAATATATTTTAATAATTTTGTAAACAAAATATTTGAAATATTAGCGTTGAACAAGCAGACGTTTGTGGAGTTACTGAGGAATTCACGAAAGACGAAGCTAAATTAATTGCCGCTGTGAAAGAAGCTATTCGTGATGAACAATTATCTACTCCTACCGATGAAATGAGCATTATAGGTGCTTCATCTCGAAGTTCTTCGACTGAAACATTAATTCCTATCGCGGAATGCACTTCAACTTCTGATGGATCTATTAGTGACATCGTTAAAGGTACGCGTACTTTTAGTTCCGACTTTAATAAACGGAAATTAATAGCCAAAGAAAATTTTATATTATAATAAAATTAATGTTAATTTTATTCATTTTGTACAGACGATGATCAAATGCAACGACGCTTATTGTGCGACAAAGGGCATTTGCTTGAAATAGAAGCTACATTTGTCAGTAGAGCGTTACGAGAATTCGTAGAAAGATATCATTTTGTTAAATGGAAAGAAATGCCAAAGACACTTCAAGAAAAATTAACAGAAAAAAAGACAGTCGTGTCACGAAATATGACAACTCAGGATATAACAGATTTTTGGAATCGATATAATGAAATTTTCCCAGTCGAAAAGGAACGACTTTGGGACGGTTTATTAGTCGGACTTAATAAGTATCACGAAATATTAAAAGAACGACATCATTTGAACACTGAAGTGAAATCTTTACGAACGCAAAATGCAGAATTACGCCGTTTATTGAAAACATACACACTCCAAGTAATGCCAGCAAATAACATATATTAAATATCACATTATATTAAAATATACTTGAAATATTATAACACCTTACATACTTTTTTAGTGTGAATGTGATGGGAGCTTACAAAATGATGCACGATCTATTCCTGAAGCGACTTAGGATAATACTTGTGAATATAAGTTTAACTTAAATTTGAATTAATTTGTAGTTCATTACATTCAGTATATAATTGTTGACAATCAGAATGTAAATATACATTATATTACTATATACATAATTTTGTAACTTTTATTGGACGATGGTCTATTATCTTATCAGATAATTTAAAAGATAAACTCTATAAAAATGAATTATTTAATCTTGATATTAAAGGGATTACAACTTCAGCTGCTTTTATATATTGTTTACTTGAAATTCTTGTTTTTTTTTCCTTCCGAATGAAAATATTTCAATAATTTAAAATTTACGAAAATTAAAATTACAATTATATGTTACACTTATTGACTCACAATTATGTTAATATACTTACGTTACATCTATATTATCATGATTTATTAATTAATAGGACATTATTTCGAACTATCTCGAAATATATAACTCAAATAAAATGCACCAATTATGTAACTTATTGCGGATATGTAAAATTGCCAGAAACAAGGCTGAGCGACAGAGATGGTATCTATTCCTTGGGAGGCTTATTTCGTTTTGGTCTCCAATATGGAACAATTTTTTTATTATTTGGATCCTTATGAGATCTGCTCGCTTTGTAAGCATGTTTGTCTGAATTTATATGCTGCAAATATATAAAATCGGGCGATATTAAATTTTAAATATATTATAGATTATGGTACATTCTCGATATTTCTATCATACAATATATGGTAAATTATATAAAGTAAATGAAAACAAAAATTATGGAGATAATGCCAAAACAAAGAAATATGATAATTATGAGATATCATATCATGAGATAGAACTAATGTGTACAAATATATATAAAATATTATACCGAATTATATTGAGAAATAGAGTTGAAGAACTTGTTACATATATTGCATCTAAGATAGGTCGTTCTCAAGGAAACAGGTAATTTACCCGCCGGCAATGCAGGACATCGGGTCTTGCCACCCCATCCACCTAAGCACCAATGTGCGATCAACACTATCTATATATCACAGCCGCAGAAGCGGTAATTTGTGATAATAAATCAGCTTGAACACTACATTCATGCTATAAAAAGATTGGTCATTAATGAGTGTATAATATTAAGAATAGATTATCTCTGTAATGTGTAAAAATAAAGTGTATTTTCGTGCGAATATAATCCATTAATTTACAAACTTTTTATAGCAATATAAGGGATTATATATAAATATCTATAGAATATTTTTATCAAATATAGGTTTTTTAATATGATTTTTATTAATATATATATATGTGTATTAACCATGATACGCATACCATGATGGTTTTAAATTTCATATAATTTTTATCAAAAAAGTTTGTTTCATATTATAAAAACAGTCGTTCTTTACTTTCTTTTAAAAATAAAAATAAAAATTTAGGAAAGTACACAATACACATATAAATATATATACATATATGTAATATCATTATACAAAAATTTAATAACTCGCATTATTTGATGTTCTTTATTTTTCATGAAATATGTTTCATATATAAAGCAGTCATTAAAAAAATAACAAAATATTTCTATAACACAACAGTATTAATAAAAAAGTAATACATATGTAAAATTTGTACATGAGAAGGAATTAAGAGGTACAGTCAAACAAACTTAGTTTATTAAATGTAACATATGCAAACAAGTCGTGACCAAACTGTTTTTCACGATAACATGTTAATAAGCAAACAAATATAATATTACTTATCTTTCAAAAATAATTAAATATTAAATAAATAATAATAAATAATAACGCAGAATATAACAACGAATTTGCAATTATCACTAAGCGCTTACTAGCACTGAAATTCTACAACAATAAAAATTATGTGAATGGCAAGCAAGTTAATTCCACATAGTTAATTCATAGAAAGAAGTGGAAAGCGAAAGTAAGCAATAGTGTCAAGCATGCAAATGCGAACAATACTAAGCTATAAACTAATACAACTGTATTTTTTTCTATTTTATCCAGGTACATGAAGCGATTAGTTTTAAGGCCATATGGCAGTGTTTTTCTTACCATATAGGATTTATTATTACCTCTCATTAATTTCTTTTTATGACGGCTTCCTGCAAATACATGTTATATGTAATTTTTAATATTATCCAAATTTTATAAGTTTTATGCTAAATTTATGATATATTGCAAGTAACATGTTGTATATTCATTACCATTGAGATGTGTTTGTAGTTGCTGAATAGAATTCAGGCACACGTTGCATACATTGCATTTGAGCCCATTAGTTTCTTCATCCTTTGTAAATGAGATCTTTGTTTCTTCAAGAGTTGCCATTATATTCTTAGATCTTACCTATAATATCACAAATACATATATATATATATATATATATTAAATAATAAAATACCATTCACTCAATCTTTTGTTTGTCTCCTATTATTACTGACTTGTTTGGCATGACGTGCACCCTGCAGGTGCGTATCTAATACTGCCTGACTCGTAAAGGAAAGGTCACAGTCTTCGCATCGAACAAGAGGCTTTTTTGTAGGCAGGTTACCCATTATATTATCGACCACTGCCTTTGTTATAGGATCGTCGAGGTTTGTATTCATGACATTCTCTGACGGTACAGCCATTTTTCCAGTCTACAACACATTAAATGTACGTTAATTGAAACTCCTTCTCGAGCGAGACATGTTTCCATTAAAATTAACTCGAAGACAATAGTGTATGCCTTTTCGTAAACATCAAAAGCGAATATATCTCTGTACGTATTATTATCTAGAAAGGGATTATTACATTTAATATATACCGTATTTATCGTTGTACGAAAGGCCTTATCTTAACGTAAAATTTCTTTCGGCACACACACACACACACAACACACACACTGCGCGCGCATTAACGTCGACTTGTATATATGCCGTTTGCGCTACGATAATTATACGATATTAAATCGGTGTAATGCGGCCGTTTCGTCGGAGTATTAAATACAATTGTGCTGGCGTGTGATAATTACCGTTACAGTTGTGCTCGTCGTAAAGTGGATCGGTATAAGCTGCTGTTGTGAGAACACAATTTTTTTTTGGGTCGTTCCAGGAATCGCCGTGTAAATATAGCGCTTTTTCAAATCACTGTTCCTCCGGTCGGGCAGACTGACATCAACGTGCGACCTCGTACAATCCAGCCTAGTACCGCTTGAGAGTTGCACCTGTCGTGACTCTCGTCAGTCTCGTCCCTCTGCGTCCCTCCTTCTAATGCTCGATCATATGTCCATCTATTTCACCCTTTCTATTCGAAAAGTGCAAACGGTACAGGTAACGAAGAACAAGTTCGCGGACGATCAATGAGGCGCTCCCGTTCTCTCACAGAACGAACGCTATTGGCTGTTCTGTTGGTACCTCTTGTCGTGGATTTTATGAATTTTCATGTATCGTGTCACGCGAAGGGTATCAAGCTCTTGTTATGGCAACATATTTGTCATTCATTTATTAGTACTTTGAACGGTTGTTTTGTATCATCACCGGATGACCACAACTAGAGATCCTTATAACAGAGGCCATAAATTGACAAATTTTTTTATTGGTTCGTCATTTTTGCCAACTTTGGTATAAGCGAGTTTTTTAATTCGTCGATTGATCAATCTTATTATATACGCACAAATGCAGCTTTTACAAAAGTAAATTATCTTTACGCGCATAAAGCGATTGATCAAACGATTAATTATCTACTAATATTATTACGTTATTTTATTATATACTATAACAATATGCATGTACATTCTTTTATTGTCAAAGGTAATTACATGATATCACTAGTTTTTCATCTCCTCCGATTGATTAAATTCCATTTCAATGTCAATCTCAATCTCAATTTAGTCACGACTTCACTTTTGTTTTGACAAAATTGTTGTTACAGGGTTTATAAACACGACTAATGTTAATTAACTCGAATACATCAGTTCACGTGCAACACCGTTATCGGTTTATTGTATTCCTCAAACATTCACGTTTTTGTATGTAGAATATTGTTGAGTTGAAGAATTCTATCAAGGATTAATGAAGATAGAATCGTTTAAGGACTTATATTTATACTGGCCGTAATCTCTCTGTTAATTTATGCCGTATTCTGTAAGAATTGACCAATTATAGTCGAATGAGAGGGGAGTAATCGACTATGATTGGTTGATTGTTAAGAATTACTTATACTTGCCGTAATTTGTAAGAATTAACCAATCACCGTCGAATGAGAGAGGGGAATAATCAATTATGATTGGTCAATTCTTACGGTATAAGTTAAGAGATTATGTGGCCAGTATAAATCAATCTGATCGTGCACGCAGTGCGGTCCAATCATCGCGAGCGAGTCGAAGACAATGGCGGCGGGCGCGGCCTAAGGCGAGCAGCCAATCAAGCGACTCGGTGCGCGTGCCGCTTAACGGCGGTGCGCGCGTGTGCGTGTGCGTGCGCGCGTATAGGTGCCCGTCGCGAAATATAGTAGCAGCCATCTTATATTTTGTGTCGGAGAAAAACAATTTGACCGTACAAATGTTTCGCGATTGTCCGTGAAGCCGCACGACGTAGGGAGGCGGTGCGCTCGATGAGGCGCGACATTTTTCGACCCTAGACCCGGACCACTACATTAGCAAAGGTTCGTATGAAAGCGGCGAGCGCGTCTAATCGGTTTTCCACCGAGGAGACGCGCATACAACAGACACGAACTATCCCCTCCACTCGCGGGAGAAATCCGGTCTCGCCGCGACGACGATTATATTTCCGCCGTTTCTCCATCGGCCGCCCTTTTAAAAATAGAGCGGCTCGCGTCACTCGTCGTCGAAGACCCCGGCGATGCTTCCGCGGTGGCGTCCGCGCCGTGCGCGACGCGCCCCGCGGTTAAAAGTTATGCAATCAGCTGATCGCCTAGCTACTCTCTGTCACTTGTCAAAGATAAATGTCAAAGCGAACCTCGGTCTAACCTGACGCGGCCGTACGCGCGCCGCAGCCATCCGCAGGTAACGCTCGCGTAAGTGACGCCGTTTCTTCTCCCTCCCCTTCCTCTGGCCCGGGGGCGTACTGCGCTCTAGAGCTTTGTTCTCATACGCAGGTGGATTGGTACACAGGATATGAGCAGTTTGTCAAGCGCAACCTGACTCTGCTCCCCCATCAGCAAGCAGCACAGCAGCCGGACCAGCAGTCTCAGCAGCTGGCTCAACCACAGCAGACTGTCATTATGACGTCCATGTTCGATCAACAGATCAAGAGCGAGCCCATGGGGTTCTATTCGGTTGCTTCCAGTCGTTCGGACGGATCCAACTCCCTGGTGAATTTGTCCGACGATCGAGAGGATCTGTCCCAGCAGGAGAGTCATCTGCAGCCTCAGCAGCAACAGCAAACGATGCAGCTGAGTCAACAACAAAGTCAGCAACAGGGCCAGCCGCAGAATCAACAACAACAGCAACAGAATCAGCAACAGCAGAGTCAGGGTATGCAACAGGAGACACCGAGTCGTCAGTCTACGGGCCAACAGACCCTTAAAGAGGGTACACGGTCTAAGCCTCAACCTTGCAAGGTTTGCGGCAAGGTACTGTCCTCCGCTTCGTCCTATTATGTGCATATGAAACTTCATTCAGGGAACAAGCCCTATCATTGTACAGTATGCGAGGCGAGTTTTTGCCGCAAACCTTATCTAGAAGTGCACATGAGGACGCACACGGGCGAACGACCTTTTCAATGTGAGCTGTGTCTGAAAAGGTTTACTCAAAAGAGCAGTCTCAATACTCATAAACGAGTGCACACGGGCGAACGACCGTATGCGTGCGACATTTGCCACAAACGTTTCGCCGTCAAGAGCTACGTCACGGCGCATCGTTGGAGCCACGTAGCCGAGAAGCCTCTGGTCTGCGACCGATGTTCTCTCACATTCACGTCCAAAAGTCAATTTGCGATTCACATCCGTACACATACCGCCAGTACCACTTACGAGTGTAATCTCTGTGGACGTACGTTTGTACGCGACAGTTATTTAATAAGGCATCAAAACCGGGTGCACCGCGACATGACTCAGAGCACGAATCACAATCCACCGACGCCGCAGAGCAGTGGTGCTGGTACTCCGGGCACCGGCTTTGAGAGCCCGGTCTGTGATCTGCGCTACAGCGAAGGACCGTCGTCATTGGACGGTCTCGCAGGAGCTAAAGGCACGGGCATCGCCGCGGAGATTGCCAGTTTAGCCAAGCAGAATAATCTACAGCTTCCACTACCGCTGCTGCATCCGCAGACCACCAACTAGTGTTTAGACAGCAGCAGCGCTACCCAGTCCCTGCCGCAACATCAATCACCACAGCAAGTAGTATGTCCCACCTCGGCGTCTTCGCCGTTCACACTTAACTCACCTATATCTCACACCGAGCACACGAGCACACCGCAGAGTGTCTACCAAACGACGGGCTCCTCCGATTCCTTGGAAAGCCCCAACTCCCAACTCTATCCGCACTTGTCGTCCCCTCTAGATCCAACATCGGAGTCGCAACATCAGCTGCACCGCGGCATCCCTCCGCCAGGGCTTCATCCCGCACTCTATCTATACGCTCAGTACTCGAATACGAGCTCCGCGACTTCGTACTCGGAATATATGCAGCGTAATCATTGAACGCGAGTTTTCATCTAGCATCGCTCGACTGCCAACGCGAACGAAAATACCAGTGAAACTGGTGCTATTTAATCGCGTCGGTTGATCAAAGTGCCTATCGAGCATCCACTTCCGGTGTAACAACGGATGCTCGCTCGTCACGGTTTAGGAATACGATCTCGGTTTCGGCTTTTAGGAGGCATACGACGACTCAGCAGCTCGATCAATTGCGAAGTGACTATACTGTTCGATAAATGTTTGCTATTTTCTGTCTCTTTGTATCTAATGGATTTTATATTCATAAACATCTTTTAACATGGGATTGAATAGCACCCGACTGAAGCGGAATTTTTAATCGTTGAATGATCAAATTGTGCCGGCACACAGATCGTTTTAATGAATCGATCACTATCCGTACACGATGCTAGCTGAAACCGAAGCGTCTAACGTTTCTACGAGTCTCCGTGATTTCAGCACTCTTATTTCGCCTGGTTTTAATCACGTCTCTACGAGTATATATATATATATATATATATATACATATGTATACATCTATGTATATGTGTGTGTGTGTGTGTGTATATATATATATATATATATACATATATTATGCAAACCATTATGACACGTACACATATTTATATTATATTTTTAAAGAAGTTTAGTCACTTGAATCTGTGATATAGATAGTAATTATTATCTACAATGTTTAAACTATTGGTTTTACTATTTTGATGAATATCAAAACGAGGAAAATGAAAAAGCAATGTCACGAGGCGATCAAAAATTTTAGCAACGTTGGTCTCTACCGAAGGTGTGTTTGGTAGACACCCTATTATTAATTTTACAACAGCAACAACAGTAACACTATATGGCTAATCCTACTATTATCACTGCTATTATTCTAACTACCACTATCACTTCTATCACCACCACCGACATTTCCCAAATTATACATTATCTATCGTTACTATTACGGCTATCACTACCACTATTATTCTACCGCTACTATGTACTACTATACTACTAAAAAAAGAAGAAACTACGATCACGTTATCGCTAAGGATACACTCACACTTGCGAGAGCGCGCGTTAAATAAACGTCATGTAGTCGTCATGGTTTCTCTTTAGCTTGAAACGCTACGAGAATTCCTTCGGTCTTTCTGCTTTTTCTGTAGATCGTGAAACGTTCATCCCTTCGCAACACATTGACGAATATGTTGGTATGTGACGAGGTGCGCGTTTGTGATAAAAAAAGAAAAAAGAAAATTGTTGTCTTCGTTCGAGTGTAGAGTACACAGCTTTCAATCAGTTCCATAGTTGTACTTACTTTCCACATATCTCGAGGTGTACACAGATATATATATATATTGTATATACATATACGACGTACGAATGTATAATAAAGCGGAAGAATAGGATACAGGTCATAAAAAATGCAGTTCTACAATATAAAAGGCGCAATAGGTTGTCTTCGCGAATATTCTTGGCTATTAGCTTATTAATTTCTATTTTTCTCTCTCTCTCTCTCTCTCTCTCTCTCATAATCACGCCACGTATTTTAGTGCAAGCGCGAGGGAACCATGACAACCGCGCGTAGAATTGAGAGTAAATCTCAAAGTACACCTCTTAAACGCGGCCATCGCTTTCGAGTATAATCGAAATCTGAGATAATTGCGATCACGTGTAAGTGCAATTCACCAACAATTGCGCGCGTTTAACACGAAACCGCGTTTTAGAGCTACGAAGGTACACAAATCGAAAGAAATTATATATTCGTGCTAGCGTGCCTCGAACCTCCTTATTGTGGTTTTCTCTTTTTTTTTTTATTTCTCCCTCGCTTTTTCTTCTCTCTTTCTATCTCCCTTTCAGCGATCTAATTTTCACGTCGTAAAATGATCAAAATGATCCTGCGCGCGTATGCCTGAGGCTTTCGATTTAACGAGGATGCGAAGTCACCTGGGCAAGACTGATCTTTATTAATGAACTACGAAATGTTTATTCTCTCTCTCTCTTTATCTGTTTTTTTCTTCATTTTATTCTCTCTTGTCTTTCTGATTTTCGTTTTTCACCGGATGCGCACGAAAGCGCGCTGAAAAGAGGATAGTACGATAAAGATTTCATTGACGAAGAAGAGCCGCTTAAAATTGCACGTTCGTGGACGAAATGAGTTAAATAATCGGGCAAATTGGTTAACGTAATCTATTGTTTTATTAATTAACGTAGTTAATTAATCAAGCGACTGACCGCATTGATTAAAATTAAATAAGCGATTAATTAAGTTAATTACGCGTAAGAGAAATCGTGATTTCTGGTTCACGAACACGTTAAAGAATGAAGTGCAATGAGAGAAAGCAATTGATCTTTTTTTTGTCGGCTAGTCATTGGGCAGCTCTACGAGATATTAAGTGTACTACAAAGCTGTGATTAAAGCCTCCGAGCATATGACCGCGCAGCTCCTAATTATAGTGATATACATATACATATATATATTTTGTAGTTTATTATAAATATGTAAGTATAAAAAGTGAAATTAGATAGCCTTAGGAATATATAAAAATCGCAGTTCCGGTCGATCGTTTTATTCACTCACGATCTCTTTCTTTTTTCTGTTTCCTCTTTTTTTTATTTTAGACGCATACCTTCGCAGTGTTGGGCAAAAGCACATATATGTTATAGATGTCATAAGTTATCGTTTGGGAAGAACTCTCGCAATTATGCGAGTATTTAAAGAGAGTTTTACGTGAATGCGTGCGAGGTCGCGAGTTGACATTTTTTACATTTTTACATAACGATCGTACTGTTTGAAATAGACGCTGACTTTGTCCAGAGAACTGCTGTTAGCTTATCGATATTTTAAGCTGATTTATTTACCAATAATTTACGAATTGTCAATTGATGCTCCAACTGCACACAATTTATTATGAATATTCGATGATGGGATTCGGTTTAAATCAAAGATAATGTAGAACGACCTATACACAGAAAAAATACATACTGTATTCAAATATTATTTTCGAGTATTTTAAAAGTTTTTATCTGCAATTTATTCAAGCTATGTTTTGAATTTTAATAAGTTTACTATTTGAATTGAGATAATTAAATTGAAACAAATTTGATTTGTCTATTACATATATAAAGTCGCTTTTGCGAGGTAAAATGTTATAGTATTCTTTCAAACAAAATAAATTTTTGTTTAAGTACATAGTTTTCTTTTAAATTTCTAAGTATATTTGAGATTGTTATTAAGAAAATAGTTTTTTATTAAAGATAACTGTTACAAGAAAAAAAAGGTTAACTAAATAGTGACTTTTTTTTGGAGTAGAATGATGTTTTTTGTGTATACGAGATAAATTCGTTTGGGGATGCTGGAGTTACCGACGGAACACTCATTTTGTATTTCTCGTGCTATTTCGTTTTCTTTATATAGAATAAAAAATCCTTTTCCAGAATAAAAGGGAAAACACAAACAAGTCCGGAAAAGTCCAAACCGGTATGAGAATCCCCCAAACATTACCACATAGGTTCTTTCTTCACATATATATAAAAAGACTTCCGGATTTGACTAATTTATAAGATTATCATGAGACCTTCAAATTATGATTTTGAAATTTACAAAAGAAATGGCACGAGAAATACGATTTGAGTGTACATAATCTCACATTCAAGCGATGTACAAGATAGAACAAGAAATGTACGTAACGTTTTACTTAATGGCTTATTTAATATACGTAATGTTTTACTTAATGTATGTAAATATTTTCTTGATGTATGTAATATTTTAATTGGAATTAAAATCTGTTTTATCGACATCGATGAAGTTCGGCTGTCTCTCTAGCATCGCCTTAATTAGAAGATTTATCTTCAGTTTATTCACGTTACTAAACATTAAGACTATAAAAATTATTATTTTCGATATTTTTTTTCAGAGAAGAAAATTTTGCTGTAGAAAAAAGTATGCTCGTAAACCATGAAAGAAGTGTGAAATATCGCGATAGCATTTCCAGTGAACATGATTAGTAAATTTCAGTCAGAAACGATCGTTAGTCAGTAAAATCAGCGTCCTGAAAATGTAGTGAGATTTTAACTGTGTTATCCAATACGTAGAATTAGGAGCTATTTCAGACAGTATATCACGTATATACATGTAAGCTGTATGGCGTATATTTTTTTAGGATTGCCCAGCACTGACTTATCGAATCGGTAATAACGATCTCGCACACCGACCGCTTTTTCGCGGATGTATCTTCGAGTTCTATTCGCGATATGTATATCAAAAAAATGTGTATTTTCGTAAGAAGGGGGGAAAGACGGGTTCTTCCTTTGGGAGGATCCTCGTCGGACCAATACATACAGCTGTATATATATAAAAGACGATAAAAAAGAAATAAGAAAGATGTTCTGCGGCGCTTTGAAAAAGTGCGGAATACATCTACAAGTGCTATATACTTATACATAACGATGAGCGTATACTTCTACGTAAAATGCGAGATTGCACATTTCTTTGTTCATTTATCTTGATTTTTCTATCTTTCTTGGTGTGCGTCTTATGTACAATTTTTTTTTTAGTCATCTTACTATATCAGGCGATTTCAATGCTTTTTATTAACTTTTTTTGTTTAAATGAGCGTGAAAGATCTTTTTATTGTATTTTAAATAATTATCTTTTTCCTTTCCTTTTAATAAAAGGTAGTGCGCTAAAATGCGGATAAGTTACAATAAAAGAAGATGTGTA